AGTATAAAGAAACACAACGGTCACAAGTATAGGACTTACTCGCATGCTATGACCCCACAACAATGTATAGATACTCGTCATCTCACCTATACGTCGTACTTAACAACTATACATGTAGCAAATAAGGCAACAATACCTAATCCCTCAAGCTAAGGTTAGCCACAACACTTACCTCGATTCCACGACCTAACTCAAGCTTCAAATACCGTTTTTCCCTTAGTTTCCACTTCCAATATGCTCGTATCTATTCATAATTAACTTATTAAGATCAATTAAGCTAAAGAAACCAATTCCAATGCATAATTATAGATTTCTCAATATTTTTCCCAAAAAGTCAAAAATTCACCCCGGGCCCGCTTGGTCAAAACTCTAAGTTCGGACCAAAACCCGATTATCCATTCACCCCCGTGTCCGGATATACAATTGGTTTTGGAATCCGACCTCAATTTGAGGTCTAAATCCCCAAACTTCGAAATTCCTAAATTCTACCCAAAAACACCCAATTCCACCATGAAAAACTCTAGATTTTGTGATGAAATCTTGTAAAAAGATGAAATGGATTGAAAAAAATAAGTCAGGAATTATTTACCTATGATTTAAGGAAGAAATGGTCTTTGGAAAATCGCCTCTTGAAGTTTAGGGTTTGAAAATTTAAGAAATGAATCAAAAATCCCGTCTAAGTTATGTTCTGAACAGCTACAGATGCCGCATTTGCGACCAGAGCTTTGCAAATGCGAAGTTCCCCACACCTATGCTGCCTTCGCAATTGAGAAGGTATTAATCGCAATTGCGATCAGGGACCTCTGCAAATGCGACAAAAAGATCGCATTTGCGATCACACCCCTCCCAGACTCTCTTCGCAATTGCGAAGATATATTAGCATTTTCAAGGCCTCGAAACACGGAATCGAATTCTAAAACAAAAGATGACCCATTAATACACTAACTCAATCCCTGTTAATATACATCATTCACCTATCAAACATGCATATACTTATATATACTTATACACACGTAAATGTACTTATATATTTATATACTATGAGCCAATTTTTATTTAAAAATATCCTGCTTGACTTTTTTCTAATGGGGCATGACATGAGATAATAGAAATATTAATGGGTTTGTTATGAACTTCTCAAAGAACACAATTACAAATAGGAATTATGATTGATATTTCATTAATGGAAACCCATTACATAGAATTAGAGAATAAAAAGATAAGACTTTAACATAAACGAGGACAGTAACAGAAAGAAGGGATAAAGGGGAGGCAGATTCACAGAAGAAAAAGAGATGAGGCATAGATAGACCAGAGAGAGGAGAGGTCACTAACAATCTTCGGCATAACTCTAGAATGAAATGAACCTATTATTTATCTCCTGATTCCTTAGTCTCTGTCACGTGCAGTGCACATGCTCCGTTTTCAGCCAGGGTCCCATACGTAATTTGCCAAAAGCCCAAATGTAGCATCGTGGCTATTTTGATTCATAACAATACCCCTGTCCTCAATAAGAACCTTGCCCTCAAGGTTCGAGTTAGGAATTCCTTCTAACCACATTACAACTAGATCATATAAACTAAACCCGTTGTCTACATCTGAACCAACCACAAGAATTACAAGGCTTAAAGCTTGAAATGACCCTATAGAAATGGCATCATTGAAATAATATGTTTGGGAAGTATCAGGAACCCAAGATAACAAAATGACAAGATTTCCATCTCTAAGTGCAGTAGTGAATGCAACCAGCAAACCTATATTATAGAAACCAGAATAGCAACAAGTTTCGTACATCACAATTTTGGCTAGTGGCAATATATAATCAGACACTTTTCTGCTTAATTCTTTCAAAAGTGAACGTGCCTCCAAAGCCCAATCTTTCCCCTTTGGCAAGAAACCTTCAAGCCCAGCCACATAATCCATACCCTAAATATTAGATGCTATCATAATGACAAATGTTACAATTTGTTGCACAGTCGGTGGATAAAAGTGTGGGAAAACCGGATACGTACGCGTATATTCCATGTCACTCACAGGCTCAAAGTACGACATTGCAACCACACCTCTACTCCTTTTAGAAATTTCTGTATGTGGATCTGATGCAGAACTTAAAGGATCATTAGGAAGAGTTGTACAACCAGAATTAACCTTAAAATCATGCTCAGCGTCGAACAACTTAAAAAATTGTATGCCCAAGCCATGGTTCTCAACAGTAAGACTTACTGTCTCTCCATTCCAATTCCCTAAAAATACCTCATTAGAAACAACAATAATCACAGTTTCTATCATTTGGTCGAACAAATTGAGCACACAACATGTTAAACTATGCATTATAAAACCAATAATTGGTGTAGTCTTAGTCACAGACGCTTCTGTTTCCTTCAGTGTTCGAGCCAAGGAATCGTCACATGCTCCATAAAAATAGAGCCAAACACTAGGAGCATCATCCAAACAAAAACACAGTGGCAAATACCTTAAATTTTTTTGTGGAACCAAATCGTTTATGCCACTACCAATGCCTTCAGCAAGTCTAGAAACCATGTCGAAAGAACGAACAATAAAATATCCAGCACAGTGTCGATCATCAAAAGCAACTCCCAACAGAACATATTGGCGAACATTGTATGTATTTCGGAATTGAAATTTCAAAGGTGCGATGCAAGGATTCCACACGGTGAATGTCACAAACTTATCACGTTCAAAGTTGCTCGGGGCACTACATAAAACATAATTTTTTGTAACTCTAAGAAATGTTGTAAGCAAACTAGAGCCAGGATCAAAGGGAAAGTCTAATTCGAATTTACCAGGTAGATATCGATGCAAAGGTAAGACAAGATCAGCACGACCAAGGTCACTTGAGTGACTAAATGTACCTCTATTTAGAAGTTGGTTGTAAGTGCCAGCAAAAAGCATACAAGACATCGCCTCCAAGTTTTGGGCTAGCCCAAGTCTGTATCGATCAGCAATCATGACGAGGTTACTAGAAATAGAGAACGCAGAATCGATCCATAGTGGAGCCTTCTCCATGATTGCAGTAACAACTTTCTCTTTATTATCCTTCTCTTCATTTTCCACAACATTAGCATTATCGTCTGCCGCATCAGTCGGAGCGACATGAATCATCAAATCATTAAGGAAATGGGTCTCTGTTGTTAGAGTAAGCTCCTTCGGTGGCTCCTGTCTAGCATTCAGCTCTTGAATAGCATCTTCAGACCCATTGGACAATTTATCGAACACCTTGCGCGCTTCATTATTGCTGTTGTATTCAGACGATGTAACCAAGTATTGTGGAAAAAGGGGTTCGACTTCCTCTTTGTCCTCATCCAAAACTGAGCTGCAGGTCTCCTCAGGTGTTGTTAGCATTGTTTCAGTAAGTATAACAGTTGTAGTTTCCTTATTTGGCTTTTCCGCAAACATCTTGTGAGTAATGTTCAGGTTGGTGTTCTTTGAGTGCGCATTCCAGTACTGAGGCATGTGCGAGTTAGCCATGTTGCTCCATGACGGAATAACTGCAACCCGTGTTGGATAAGCATCCACTGTGGTAAATTGCCGGAGAAAGGCTGAACGCCGATCAGGTGCATCCCGATTTGGACCTCGAAAACGAATAAAAAATTTGTCCACGAAATGGTCCCAACCTGCAAGTTGTTTGTTTCGAAATAACCAATTATACCATTTCAAAGCCTCGCCATCCAAATAAAATGAAGCCCAGGACAGTTTATGCTCTGACGAAATATTGTAGAAGGTGAAATACTTCTCTGCCTGAAGAACCCAACCCAGAGGATTCTCACCGCTAAAACGACTCATTACTGGGGCTTGAGATAGATCCACCATGGTAGATGGACTCAATGAAAGCACCAATGTTATGAACTTCTCAAAGAACACAAATACAAATAGGAATTATGATTGATATTTCATTAATGGAAACCCATTACATAGAATTAGAGAATAAAAAGATAAGACTTTAACATAAACGAGGACAGTAACAAAAAGAAGGGATAAGGGGAAGGCAGATTCACAGAAGAAAAAGAGATGAGGCATAGATAGACCAGAGAGAGGAGAGGTTACTAACAATCTTCGGCATAACTCTAGAATGCAATGAACCTATTATTTATCTCCTGATTCCTTAGTCTCTGTCACGTGCAGTGCACATGCTCCGTTTTCAGCCAGGGTCCCATACGTAATTTGCCAAAAGCCCAAATGTAGCATCGTGGCTATTTTGATTCATAATAGGGTTCATTGAATACTCTTAATTAAGAGAGCTTGAAAATCCTATAAAGGTGATTTAAAACAAAATTAGACACCTACTCTCATGTAAAAGTACGTAGTTGAAATTTCCCACATAAAAACAACATTCTTGACGTGGAATGAAAACATGCTACTTGTCGTTTACTTATTTAAAAAAGTTTATGAACAACCCATGCATGAAGAGAGGTAGAAAAAAAAGCTAAACTATGAAGCAATTATTTTCACATTAAGGTAGTTGAGACTTCAGTTGAACGTTTTCATGAAATGAAGTGGCTTTATTTTATATTCAGTATAGTTACGGGACGATTATTGCTAGACACTACAATTTATAAAGTGGCTTTAGATGATATAATGATGTTTTTTGCTTCCTTAATAATGTTCAGCCTAGAATATTACAGTTAAACCTCTCTATAACAAACTCGTTTGTTCTGATATATTTTTATTGTTATAGTGATGTGATGTTATAGAAAACATATATTATAATATAACATGAAAAATTGGTTCCAAAGAAAACTTGGGCATTATAGTGTCGTTATAAAGGATAACTGTTATAGAGGGGTCTCACGATATATGGAAACAAAGCTTTTAAGTTATGCATTTGTTTACGATATATAGACCAAATGCTTTTGATTCACGTGTAAAACGAAACGATAGGAGATTAAAAATACATGCACGAGATACACGACACTTCATTTTTTGAAATTTAATGGATCTCGCAAAATTGGCATTAGACCTTCACTAACTGCTATAAATATGCCCGTAATTATTAGTTGAGCAAAGAACTACAAACAAACACAACTTTCCCACTTCAAGTTTCAAGACAAAGCATTAATTGTCAATGGCTGGAATTAAATTTGCTTTCTTTTTTGCTGCTCTCCTCCTAGCGATTGTTGGTTAGTAGTTGCATTCCCCTCTTCCTAGCTCTCTCTCTCTTTGTATATATACTCTCTGTCCAAATTTATATGGCACAATTTCAATTTTAGTTTATCCCGAAAGAAAAAGACAATTTTATTTCAAAAGTCTATATTTATTTTTCTTAAATATCCGAATTAAGTCAAACAAGACCACATAAAGTAAGATGAAGAGTGTGTGTAGGGGAGGAGTTAGAAGCCTGAATACGGTTCAGTCAAATTCAGTAACTTTTGCTCAAACAGTATATTTGTGTTAAAAATAAATTAAATATGTAGAAATATTAATTTTAAAACATAGTTATTAGCACTTGAAGTCGCCGTTTTAAAATCTGAAACACATAAAGTTGAAATTCTTGCTTCGCCTCTGAATGCCTGCCGGGGCGGAGGCAGAAGCCGAGCAAAGGGTTTGGCTGAACCCAACAGCTTTTGCTCAAATAATGTATTTTGTATTAAGAAATTCATTAAATTTAGAACCCAATCATTAGCACCTGAAATCGTCGCTCTAAAATTCAGATCCCACTAGCTCTGCCTCTGAGTGTGTGTGTGTGTGTGTATATATATATATATATATATATATATCATTTTGTATTAGCGTTTAACTCAATGTTGATTGAATTAATATGCAGTTAATCCATTCATGATCGGCTCGCCGAAGATGAAAGTAACAGCATTGAGAAACTTACCCTTAGATATGGATATGGAAATGGTTGAAAGAAATCTACTAATAGATGGTTGGCTAACTTGTAAGAGAGCTTGCAATCAGAATAGTGATTGCTCTGACGGTTGGTTTTGCAAGACATGTGCAATTCCTGCCTTAGGGGAGAAATATATGCAATGCCTCCATCATCTAGATTCCTCAAAGTATGCTCAAGTGATTCCAACTACATTTATGGGGGGAGGTGAAAACCTGCTTCAATAGAAAAAAAAGGCAGCTCGGTACCCGAAGAAATTAAATTGCATATCTACATGTGTTTATCTTGCTTTTCGTATACCTACTTTGAGTGAATATGTGACGTCTAAGATGTTAGATGTCCAAATATTCGTAGTTTACTTTCTATCATATATGTATGTGCAGTGATAAGTCTTCGGGAAGAAGATCACTCTTATCAATTGCAGATGTTCGTATCGTACTGATGTTTGTTGTTTCTCTGGAATGATGACATACACACTGCTATAACTAAACGCAGATGTGAAAATCAAAAGATTAACTGACTGCAATTTCCATTAGATAAATGAACACCGACATTTAATATCAAACAGAAGAGGTGGTTCGTATCAGCTTGTTCAAGTAATCGAATGGAACAATGGACACTCAAAATCACTGATACTTGCACCTAAAAAATAATTCAAAAGGACCAACTACTAAGAAATCTCAGAATGCTTGAAGTCCCTTTCTCCCACTGCTCGATGGAGCCTGAAAGTATATTTTGGATATCGAATGTATGCTATGAAGCTTGATTATTGGTTTTTCCACAAGAATAATGACCATGAGAAATTTAATCGGCTGAAAAATTGAGAGTAAACTTGTTTAAGCTTTAGGCTTGAGGGCCTTGACAGTTTCCCAGGTGAAATCAGGGTCATCACGGCCGAAGTGACCATAAGCAGCAGTCTTCTGGTACCTGAAGTTACCTCCTCTCTTCAAGTCAAGATTAATTGCAATCATTCCAGGCCTGAAGTCAAAGTTCTCCTTGATCAGAGCCAAAATATCCTTGTCTGGAATGGTTCCGGTTTTGTAAGTGTCAACAAACACGGAGAGCGGTTCTGCCACACCAATTGCATAAGAAACCTGGACAATACAGCGGCGAGCAAGTCCTGCAGCAACCACACTCTTTGCTGCCTGTCTAACAATATAAGCACCACTTCTGTCCACCTTAGTAGGATCCTTCCCTGAGAAAGCACCTCCACCATGAGCGCCCCATCCTCCATAAGTGTCAATGATGATTTTCCTGCCAGTGAGTCCAGCATCTCCATGTGGACCACCAATCACAAAGCGACCTGATGGGTTGAGGTGGAAGATGGTTTTCTCATCAAGGTACTTAGCTGGGATCACGGGCTTGATCACATGCTCTTTCAAGTCCTGGGCAATCTGCTCATTTGTGACAGTTTCATCATGTTGAGTTGAGATGAGAACGGTGTGAACTCTAATAGGAACCATGGCACCATTCTCATTCTTGTACTCAACTGTAACTTGTGTCTTGCCATCTGGTCTGAGCCATGGGCAAGTCTTGTTCTTCCTCACTTCAGTAAGCTTGGCACCAAGCTGAGTAGCCAAAACATGAGTAAGGGGCATGAGCTCAGGAGTTTCATCGGTGGCATAGCCAAACATGTGACCTTGGTCACCAGCTCCAATTTCCTCTGGTTTCTTTGTAAGATGACCATGAACTCCTTGGGCAATGTCAGGGCTCTGTTGCTCAATATTGACAAGAACCTTGCAGTTGTCAGCATCAAGGCCGACATCAGGTGAGGTGAACCCAATGCCTCTGCAAGTATCACGTACTATCTTCTCATAGTCTACATTGGCTTTGGTTGTGATCTCACCAAAGACCATGACCATGTTTGTCTTTGTGCAGGTTTCACATGCAACCTTGCTCTCTGGATCTTGAGCAAGGCAAGCATCAAGAATGGCATCTGAAACTTGATCACAGAGCTTGTCGGGATGGCCTTCATTGACTGATTCTGAGGTGAACAAGAAAGTTTCCATGTCTGCCCTGAAATAGAGAGAATGTGTTAAGACTGCAATCCTGAATCATTCAATCAACAAGAAATTGAGGCAAAGGTTGATCGTAACCCCGATGATTATGAGAAAATAGAAAGCAGCAAGAACTTGAAAACAATGACAACCAAGAATTCAATAGAGAGATTCTGCACTCGGTAGCAAAATACCATGAAAAGATAAAACAGTAACAAGTGGTTGATTTTTTGTAATTCAGAAAATTCGAGTAGACTCATCAACGCTTTCTATTATTTAAGAAAAACACAAGGTATCTTGTTTCATCAAACAAAGGTCACCGCAATAATTGTCACAGCTCACAAAACTGGCGACAAACATTCGGAGGGAACAGGAGAAGTCTATCAGGATATCCTTAAATGATTAACATAATAAGACTCATTTTTTATAAAGTATAAGGCTCTCATTAAGCCCAGAAAATTAGATTATAAGAATTTTAGACACCATACATTCCCATAAAGGATCAAAATTTACACTGCATTTCTGAAAAAATCTGCATTATTTGCAATACATAAACTTATGTCCGAAGAGGGACCTGAGATAAATCCAGATCCATTAACAAGCAGACATGAAAACCTTTTCATTCTAAAATCAACTCCAAACTCATATTCACAAGTGACAGTTAAAACCAAGCAGACATGCATCTACAATTTAAGGAATTTGGTACCAAATCCAAACACATTACATTTACACACATGATAATATATATATATATATATATATATATATATATATATATATATATATATATATTCTTATCTTAACAATGAGATCCAATTACTCCTCTAGTTAGCAGGTAAAACTACCAAATTCATGACGAAAAAATTGCAACTTTGGTAAGAAATCCTCGTTCTATAAAAGCAGGTTATCAATTAGATAAATTAAATTGATTTACAATTACACGATAGTAAAATATATGCAAAAAATATAGATAACATCATTAATAGACAAAGAGATCTGATCATAGCCAACTTGTCAGTACTCCCGCCGGAGGCGAATATAGGATTCAAATTCTATGGATTCAATATTTTAAGGTTCTTAACATTGAATCCATTATATTTTTAAAGTTATGTTTCAATTTTAATAAATTTATACTATGCATCAAAAGTACTGAGTTCCAGGTAACTCTAGGCTGCATCCACCCCTGACGCATGCGTAACACAACAAATAATTCCCAATTATATAACAACAACAAAAAAATGGTGTCACCTTAATCTCTAGAATCCGTAAGCTTAGTACATTCAAATAGAAATTTAAGAGTAAAACAAAACAAAAAGTTAACAGCAGGAATGATGAGATCATATAAGAAAAAATGCAGATATACTCCAGATCTAAATCTAGTGGAGAGAAAAACAGAGCTTAAAGAGTGAATTAAGTGGTGGATTTAAGTACATACCTTGAAGAAGAAACAAACTCTTAGATCTGAGAACACAAAGAAGAAGTGAGAGCAGAGAGCGAGGAATTGATTGTGTAGTGGGAGTGATTTGTGTGTATATTTATAGGAAGCGGAATTGAGGTGGGAAAAGGAGCCAACGACTCGCTCTCTTTTTCTTATTAGCTACTACTACTTGCATTAGTTCAAAGTTTCCAAAAAATCGTAGGCCAAAAAGGCACTTTTGGAGTTTTAACAAAATTATATACACCGACAAAGGGTCACGCAGGAACAAAATTATATACACCGACAAAGGGTCACGCAGGAAGGGCGCACCTAAATGGTGTGACGTAGACAGCCTAGTTAAATGTAAGTATTAATGATTGTTTTTACGGTTCGAATCCGTAACTTACAGATCATATAAACTTTATCGTTACTCCAAGACTCTCCTTCCAAGTATATATACTTTCAATTAAAAGAAAACTTTATATTATAGTGAATTTTAACTTGTAATATTGGATTTTGTTACTATTTTTGTTAAATTACTATACTTACCTAATTGATTTGGTTGTTAAATAATATTCTCCGTTAACTTTTACTTCACATGTATACTAAAAATAGATTTTCATTTTTACTTGTCACTTACACATATTAAGAGAAGACAAAAAAAAAATTTCTATTATACCCACATATTTATTACTAATTTAAAATTATTTTCTCACCAAAAAAATTCATCAATTAATATAGGTATTATTATAAATTATGCACTTCAATTATTATTTCTTAAGAGGTGTGAAAAGTCAAAACGTATCAACTAAAACTGAACAGAATGAGTAGTAATTTATTATAATGCCTCAAACAAGTGCGTGCTTAGTTTCCAGCACGACACCGAATGGCCAACCATCGTAGTGGGACTCACCAGCTTACAAACCCACCAACTCTATAGCGGGTTTAATTTTGTGTTGTTAAATTATCATTTTAAACTAAAAACGCCAGTCAAATACTTGAAGTTGGTGAGAATATATGACGTTTTAAGCATTGAGAAGCTTGTACATCGTGCGCCAAGAACTGTACGTATTGGTTGAGAAGTCATAGATTATTGATACTTTTTGCCAATTAATTTTAACTTGGAAGTTTGGTAGATATTTTTTTTTTTTTTGAAGGGTTTGGTAGATGTCACTTGATCCATAAGTAACTTTGCTAAAATATCTTAGATTTTTTTTTTATATATATTATATATGATCATAACAAAAGAAAAAAGTCTTATTTAGTAATTATACAATTCATAAGAAAACGAATAAATAATAATTAAAGCTTGGTCGGGTTGGGCTATGAACTAAATTTTGGAGGAATTTACACAGAATACAACCTTCTTAAAACTAATTTAAAAGAATTACAACTGCTTTCAGAAAATTACTTAAATTACATTTTATTACAACTTTTTAATTAAATCATATACAACTTTTCATATCCCTTAAATATCTCCATTAAAGCCACTTAAATAGGAAACTCAAATCATTTTGAGTATTCAACCTATTTCAAACTTATCAAATACTCTCTCTCTCCAATATACGTTGTTATGCCATGCTTAAGTGGAGAAATCATTTTTATCATTCTCTTCCACAATTTCATAGGCATAACATTATTTTTTGTTTTTATTAAAGCTTTTTCTTTGCCAAAATTGCCTAATGACGAACTTATTTTTCAGTCTCCACTAATCTATTCTTTCTAATCTCCCTATATCATCCCAATACTTCTCCATACACTGATTCCAGTAAATTTTAAATTTTTTTTTGATTTGGGTTGAAAACTCCATCTGATACAAAAATGGATAGGAAATCCATTCTTATTGCTGCGAGAAAACCCAAAGGGCAAAATAGTGGAATATACACTATATTTTTTGTATGTTTGTTGTAATTGACACAAAATGTACATTATTTTGTATATATTATACTGTGTATAATATATTCATTAATACTTTCTTTCTTTCTACTNATTATGTCTTATATGTGTATACAGTATATTATAAAGGTAGATTATAGTAAAATTGTTCTATGCTGGATTTTTGTAAAGTGTTAATCAATGTTTTTATACTTTAACAATTATTTATAATATACATACATACATATATATATACATACATACATATATATATATATATATATATATATATATATATATATTATAGATTCGTATATTATATTATATAAATTATATACTATATTATTGTATATTTATATAATTATATAATATATAGTTCATATAGGTAAATTGTATAAGTACGAGTGTGTATTCTGACTATATGATAACTAATGCATACAGTAGCAGTATACAATATATTACACATATTTAAGGTTTACTTTTCATAATAATTATAGTGTTATGAAGTATATAAGATATGAAATGCATTGCATAAAAAAGTTTGATGCCAGTCTAGGTTCAGAAGATGCATATGTTTTTTGTGTAAAATAATATAATTATTCGATGAAGACCTATTGGAATGGGAAGATCTCGAATTAGCTAAAATGATAATTACTTATATATATAAAGTATACTATATCAAGCATATACCATTAACATACAATTATTAAAAAGGCTATAACAAATATAATTTTTAGATAATGTTTTTCAAAGGATTGTTATTGGTTGTCATTATAATATCTACTTTAATTTCACCTAAAAAAGTATAATGAAGATGATATTTCCTAATTTAATTTATTTTATTCATTTTATTCATTTTATTTTTTGAGTAAAAGATTATTCATATTATCGAAACAAATGCATATATGCCTTTTAGATCTGATGGTGAGATATTTTTCTTAGCTTCATTTGTATTTTGCAAGAAAGTTATTATTGATCTAAAAAAGATATAATTAATTGGTAAGCTTTAATTTAGAGATTCTATTTTTATGTCAACTCCTTGATTTTCGCATGAAGGGAGGAGTAAGTTCCTTTTTGTATTTGTTGTACTAAACGTAATAATGAAATTTGTTGTAATTAATGTTAATTGATCTCTTAGGGCTTGTAGTTATGAAAATTTCGCAAATTTTGCCCAATTTTGACCAACTCATCTCAACCCAAGTAACTTTTGGACGGGTCGTTAACCCGTCTATTTATTGACTTAATCCAATTTGACCCGCCCAAATTCGACCCAAATTGTATTTGACACCCTTAATTGCAGCTATAGTTATCTCTTTTCTTTTACCTATCCCCTCTTCATTTTCAAAAGGAAAAAAGAAAACTTAGACAATGAAAAAAGTATATGTTAGTCGAACTTGGATTTTTTCCCCTCAGTCCATCTCTTTAATTATTTAGCTAACTTTGATTGATGTGAATTTATTACTTAGCTAGATAAGAAAAATTGCAGAACATATAAGATGGGAGAAGAAAGAAGGGAATTTATGTTATATTTTACTAATAAAATGAGAATATTGTATGGGTCAAAATCTGACCAGACGAGAATCCGCGTGAAAAGGAACGGCAAAAAGTTACTTGGGCCAAAGTCGTATCCATACAACGCTATAATGACACGCACCCCGGCTACGGCTGAGGTCGCATATTCAGAATGCTTGAATGGCGAATTGGATGTTACGGCATTTTGGAGGGTCGACCAGTAATACAGTCAAACGACTTAGGTACTACGGTTAATGACCGTCGGGTAAAAGAGAATACCAAGTATATAAACTAAATGAGAAGAAGAAGAAGAAGAAGAAGAAGAAAGAGGGGTTGAAACAAATTGACACACAAGCATATTTTCAGGGAAGAAGAGGGATCTTCATCCCTTTCTCTCCGCTAAGGAGAAAGAGGCAAGGAAGCTCAAATCTTCAGTACACATCGTTAGTCTCATCCTATCAAATGTATGAGGGTCAACCTTGTTAAAGATCGGTGACCCCCTTTCATCTATATTTTCTTCACTATTATTCAATATTATGAAAATCACGATTCTTTTCTTACATAATCAGATTCAATCATTCTTATAGTGAAATCTTATGTTCAGTTATGTTTGCTCGTTAATATCTTCTATCTTAGATCTAGGACGAATTATCTTTGGCTAGGATTTACCTCAAATCTTCCTATTTAATTAGTTTATATAAAGGTTTAACACTTTTTTGGTAAAATAATTTAGCGCCATCTGTGGGGATTTTCTAGCCAAAGCATTAGTTCCCTCTAGATCCAAACATGGTCTTAGCTCTATCTCCCATTCGGTGAAGTTTCACCCATTCACCATGAATGCCGATTTGCGAAGCCGGTCGGTAAACCCACGAAACCGCCAAGCCAACCAAGGATAAATCCCTACGTGACACCGGAGTTATGCCTGGTTTACACACGAAAATTGCAATGCGCCACAGCAGCTGCCCTGAGGCGTTATGAACATGAGGCATCATAGCCTGGGACTGCGATTACGCATACCAAACGCGTTCGTAATCCCATTTCCAGGTCAGTACCCAACGCCTTCTACATCCTGCACATATCACCCCCCCTCCTACTATATGAGACAATGCTTATCATATAATTTACCAAGATACTCCTCGTCTGTATGTTTGTGGTATGACTTATATTCTTGCCATCTTTGCACGCCCGAGACTAATGAACTGGGACTCGAACTCGAGAACCTAATGGGGGAAGTGGACCATCCACTCACGAAAGACCAATGCTCAACCAGTGACGAGGTCCAGCATAAAGTCGAAGCCAATAGGCCAAAAACTAGTAGCAGAATACAGAACAAAGCGAGCCGCCCTGCGGCTCGATCCCCAGTTCAATGCCGAACGAGGGAACCCCTAGGTCCAAAGAGCGCAGCGGGCGAGGGAGACATGGCCAATCCCCCTCATTCATCAGCTAAACAGCCGACCAAGGTAACAGATTATTCCATGTACTAACCCGATATTCCTTAGTTTTTTCAAAAAGAGAAAGAAGTGGAACAAAGAACATGTACGTCCTCTCAAATTTGCAAACAAAGGCTAGCTGACATACAAGCTCTAAATTCCTCCTTACGGCTAATGGCAAATCGAGAAAACCCTCCACACCGTACCATATTACAAATAACAGACAAATAGCTCAAAACAAGCCGACACCATTAAGAAACAATCTCTATAGCCCGGGACTGGGCAACGAGCCCATGTAACGTACAATCTCCATAATACAGGCAGAACATGAACATGGAAAGCTTGCCCGTACGCTCGCCATAGCGATGCTACGCCAATTTGACCTACTAATACTATAAGTTGC